TCATTCTCAGGGATGAGGCGGGCCATTCTGTGGGAGGTGCCTCTCTCTCTAAACAAGTGGTCATTTAAGGGTGTCAAACAGCCGTTAAGTGAAGGGGCTGCTTTGGAAAAGCAAAAGCAAACTCAGCCCTCCTGGATTGTAGTGACTGCTGTTGATGGCTGGAGGGAATCCCAAGCTCATTGGTGGCCGCACCCGGTTGCCTACTGCTCCTGGTTCTCCAGGCCCTGGAGTGTAAGTGCAGTAATGATTAGGACTTAAGACGAGGCTTGCTTGCTTTTCCTCCCTTCCTCCCTCCCTCCCTCCCTCCCTTCCTTCCTGAGAGGTTTTTGCCTTAGGGTGCATGAGCTTGCTGGAGAGAGAGAGACAGGCAGTGAGAGGGAAGTGAGAAATCACCCTCCAGGGGAGGATGGCCATGCTCCAATCCCTTCTCCATTCTCCTGGGATCTTGGGCACACACACACACACACACACACACACTTGCTGGTGTGATTTTGAAGCCACTGGGTCTGGGACTAAAACCGCACTGGCCGCGTGGGAGGGCAGCGGCATAACTGCTACGCCATCTGGTGGGATGAGTCTTCTACCCAGCACCCTCTGGGCTCTGACAAACTGTCAGACTCCGTTAGCAGCAAGTGACAGCAGCGTGCTGCTCGGTTGCCCCTGAGAGGAGGGCTGCGCTGGGAGGGATCTACCCTCTGTCCAGCGAGCCTGCTGAGCATCCATGCGGGCCTCTCGTGCTGTGAGGAAAACCGCGCCTGCGGCTTCTGGAGCCCTAAGCCGTGCAGACTTCAGGTTCTGAGTCACAGCCATGCTGCGGGAAAACTGCTGGGTGCGGCGACACACCCGAGGCCGCCACACAAGCCTGCGCTCACGTGGTACCCTTGGGTCACAGCGGCTGCCCGAGGGTGGGGTGCAGGCCGTGCACGGCGTGAGCCTAGGCCAGCCCCCGTGTAGGTAGAGACGACGCCCGCTAATGGTCACTAGCCACGAAGAACACACTCAGGAGCTACTCGGGAAGATGATCAGTGGTTACCAACAAATACGTTATACTGAAAATATCTGGAAAATAAGCAATTGCTGCTGTTTTCCAAAGGCAGGGTGTCAGACCGAGCAGTATGGACGTGCTTCAGACCCGGCTCGCCTCAGCCGGTGGTCTCCAGCCTTTTCCATCCTGGTCTCAAACAGAGGTGAACAGGCAGCAGCCTCTCCATACTTGGTTTAAAAACCACCTTCATGTAGCGACACTGTTGTCAAACAGCTCTGTAATTGAAGCACGCCCTCCCTGCCACACACAGACGTGACAGGGTGCAAGGGGTGTACATTCCAGACTTCCTGCCGGACCTCCAAGCTGTTTCCAGCTCCCACGTCCCAGAGGTCTGGGCTGAGTGTGCCAAGGCTCGGTGCCGGCCAGCGTCTCCTGTGCCAGGTGTTCCCGGGTCCCCTGCTGCTCAGCAACCTTGAATGCGCCCAGTCCCCTCCGCTACGCAGACAGACCACTTTGTTTTCCTTCCTGCGTGGGACTGTTTTCGGAGTTGCCAAGACCATGCCGGTCGCTTCCGACGCAGTACGTTTTTCAATGGCCGACCTGGCTCAGGGTTTGAAAGGAAGGCGACGCCTGCCCTCTCGTGGGGACTGCGGTCACTGCAGAATCGCTGCGCTAACGCGCACCAAGGGCGCACTTGGGAACCGCGAAGGTGGGGCGGGGGAGGGGGCACTTTAGTCCAGGTGCTTGGGTGGGCCGCGGGGGGCATTTAACCGAATCAGCACCGACCACCCCACCTGTATCTCCTTCTGCACTAGAGCTCGCCCAGGTGTTCCTCACGCAGGACCCTGCGATTACTTAGAAAATCTGTTCACGTGTTTTTAATGGCATTCAGATACTAATAACGGCCTCCATTTCAAACATCTCATCATCTGTTCTTAAAGTCTTCAATCGCGGTGAAATACACACGATGTGAAACTTGCCATCGCAACCATTTCCACGCGAGCGTTTACCTGGTCATGCAACAGTCACCCCAAACACCTCCACTCTTTC